TGACCCAGCGCAGTTTTCTGGAAAGTTGGATCAACAGGTAGGACGGTTGCTACCACACCGTTTACGGTTCGTGACCAAGCCTTGCCTCTGCAATACCGCTGACAGAGGCCGTTCCTCTAGCCAACTCCTGCCTTGTTGCTTTTAAAACTTCAGAACTTAAAACATTCAGATTTTAAACACCTGATGCTGGCTTCACATTTTCAGTTTGGTCCACATTTGTTTGGCAGTGATACTGATGAGGAGACAATTCACTGTTAACCATTAAACATCTGTGAAGGAGCCCAGCCTTCTATTTTTCAGTCCCTTTCACTGTGCTGTGGGTTTAGCAGGGGATTAAACAGTAAGCAAATTAGTTAGGTCACTGGTTTAAATGAGTTGATAATTTAACACATTTCTGAGGTGAGGGTGGCAAATGTGAGTCTAATGCTACATGGGTTCAGTTTCATGTGACTGAAGGTTTCTGAGGCTGCGCTAACACTTCTGTTTGCAGTGCACTCTCAGCCCTGGGGTTTTATTTATACCAGTGAGAGCCAGTGTGGTGTAGTGGTTAAGAGCGGTAGACTAGTAATCTGGTGAACTGGGTTTGCGTCCCCGCTCCTCCACATGCAGCTGCTGGGTGACCTTAGGCTAGTCACACTTCTCTGAAGTCTCTCAGCCCCACTCACCTCACAGGGTCTTTGTTGTGGGGGAGGAAGGGAAAGGAGAATGTTAGCCGCTTTGAGACTCCTTCGGGTAGTGATAAAGCGGGATATCAAATCCAAACTCTTAATCTGTGTTCACACTTCCAAAACTCATATGTATCCTTTACCTTGTTGTGAAATGCTTCTGTTTCATACCTTGTTTCGCAAACCAGTTTCACACCGATTAGCATCCCTAATTCATCTCTGCCAAGGTGTGAACATATTTGCATGAGGCAAATGCCTCCTGGTGTGTACACAATCTGAAACAAATTGGTACGCATTCGTTTGATCTGTATTTTGATCATATTGTGTGCCAATCAACCCCCCTGGGTCTGAGAGTTTTTCTTGTTGTTCCATGGCTATGCTTTGCAAAAAAAATCCAATCTCACTCCCTGAATTGAAGCTCGGTTAAGCAACACCTCTCTTTGGATTTTCTGCACATCTGGTAAGATCCGATCCAGCTGGTAAGATCAGCAGCTGTGGAACACAAAATGGTACACAGTAACATCAAAAATTGCAAAAGTACAGTGGTACCTCGGGTTACAGACACTTCAGGTTACAGACACTGCTAACCCAGAAATAGTACCTCGGGTTAAGAACTTTGCTTCAGGATGAGAACAGAAATCGTGCGGCGGCAGCGGCAGGCCCCATTAGCTAAAGTGGTACCTCAGGTTAAGAACAGTTTCAGGTTAAGAAGGGACCTCCAGAATGAATTAAGTTCTTAACCCAAGGTACCACTGTATTAGAAAATTTTTGCAAACTCTATTTTTCCTGTATTATATAATGACACAAAACGTTATACAGTTACATATACAAATATCGATCTATCAATTTCAGGGTGACCTTTTTTCAAAAGATTTGGAAATGGCAGTTCATTCCTTTGTTTTTAGGCAAAAGTTCATCTAACTCAGCTACAGGAACATGAGGTTGTACAAAAAAAAAGTTATAAACCCTTTTCTACACATGCCGCTTGCAAGCCCCCGTGTAGGCAAGCAAGTCCAAATCCACTTCAAGGACACATTCCAGCCAGTAAATGACAGTCACAGAGACGGTGAAGCAGGAGCAGTAAGGGGTATAGCTGAGAAGGGGACTTGGGGGGCAGGAGATCTCCAGCACCAGATAGAGGGGCTTGGGAAGTTGCATTCACATCCCAGGTCTCAGTTTCCCAATCCATGGCTTACTATCCAAAACAGACACAGGGAAGTCACGAAAGAGGTGGGAGCTGTTTAAGTGTGCAGTGACAGCAGCAAGAATGCTTCTAGCCCAGAGATGGAAAGATAGAGAAGGAAAGATGGAGGAAAGAAGAGTGGCAGACGAAACTGATGGAGTATGCAGAAATGGCAAGACTGACGGGAAAGATCGGAAACCAGGTAGACAAAGTATTCTTAAAAGATCAGAATAACCTTTTAATATACAGTGGTACCTCTGGTTGCGAACGGGGTCCATTCCGGAGGCCCGTTCGCAACCTGAAAGGAACGCAACCCGCGTCTGCGAGTGCGCGGGTTATGATTTGCCGTTTCTGCGCATGCGCGTGACGTCATTTTGCACGTCTGCGCATGCACGAGCGGCGAAACCCGGAAGTAACCCTTTCCTGTACTTCTAGGTCGCTGCAGGACACAACCTGAAAATGCTCAACCTGAAGCAAACGTAACATGAGGTATGACTGTATTTCAAAGACCACAGTTGAAATCATTGGCAGGGATAAGAATGACACTTGTAAAGTGAAATGAACTTTGGTTAATGTGATTATATAATAGACTGATAACGGTAAAAGATGCAGGAAGAAAGGTTAAACTTTTTGAAATGGAACCCGTGGAGGGAGGGAAGGAGGTCTGAAGGTTTGAAAGAACCTTCTTTATTTTTATGTTTTGGAACAATTATGGCAATTGAATAACTTTATGTAAAATCAATAAAAATTTATTTAAAAAGGAAGGAAAGAAAGAAAGAAAGAAAGAAAGAAAGAAAGAAAGAAAGAAAGAAAAGAAAAGAAAGAGGTGGGGCTGGGGAGAGAGGTGGGGACAATCACCCACCTCCCCATTATACCTTCTGAAACGGGCCCTGCAGATAATTCTTCCTTCCAAAAAAATCCAACTGCCGACACATCAGATTAAACCATAATAAGGGAAGAGCTCTTTTCAATGGGTTGCAAGCGATTTGATAAGATAATAGCCCAAACAATGCCAGTATTTGAACACGGCAAATCCTGGCGCAGTTTTATTGCTACGTATGACAGGCAAGACTCTGCTTCCCTCTTGTTCAGCATCTGTCTGGAGCCACTGGCTGTGTAAGGGGTTAGGGCGTCTGACTAGGATCCAGACATCCAGGGTTCAAACCCTCACTTGGCCATGAATTTCACTGGGTGACCCTGCCTAACCCACTTTGCAGGGTTGTTGTGGAGATTAAATTGGGGTGGGACCACGTACACAACTTTGAGCTCACTGGAGAGAGAAAGGTGGCTTATAAATCCAATAAATAAATAAATCTGGAGCAAGGGCCCATCACAATGCATACACCCGGAGCTGTTTCTCTGGGTCATCTAAATCTGTGCAGACCCTGGAGCGGTACTTGCATCCACCCAGTAATGGGCTGGATACAGAACAATAAACTGAGGCAAAATCCCAACAAGCTGTGTCTCACACACCAGGGATTGACCTCAGGAACTAGGAGCCCAGCCTTAGGAGATACAAATCTCTCATGAAAGGGGAGGGCTGGACCTACAGCCAAGCTGAAACAAACCACAGTAAGCAGAGAGAAACAGACTTGATCCTGAGAAGAGGTTGGGCAGCGGTCCAAAATCAATATCACAAGGAATTCAGTGACAAGGGAGCTTCAAGTGGAGGGTTGTGTTTTCCCCAACACTGGAGAAGGCTCAAGAGGAGAACCTCATACGCTCTGCCCTCCCAGGCCACACCCGAAAAACAGCTGCAGGTAATGAAAGAACCTCTGGGGTTGATTACTCTCAAGTAGACATCTCTCACACAAGTCACATGCTGACTCCATGTCTGTAGACACATGCTCTTCAGCCTGGGGGTTTGAGGGCCTTCTCGAGAACTGTGGCCCAGCTCCACCTCCTGCTCTGAGGGTGTCAAGAGTTCTTCAGCAGGAATGCCCATCCAGGACATACTCAGGAGGCCATGTCTAACTCCTCAAGACTCTGCCCTGCGACGTGTCCGGTTTGTCCTTGGAGGACTCCAGACCAGGGCTAGGTGTGATGATCATGACGACAAATAATATTAATGATACAGTGGTACCTCAGGTTAATTCGTTCCGGAGGTCCGTTCTTAACCTGAAACTGTTCTTAACCTGAAGCACCGCTTTAGCTAATGGGGCCTTCTGCTGCCACCGCGCCTCCGGAGCACGATTTCTGTTCTCATCCTGAAGCAAAGTTCTTAACCTGAAGCACTATTTCTGGGTTAGTGGAGTCTGTAACCTGAAGCGTATGTAACCTGAAGCGTATGTAGCCCAAGGTACCACTGTATTAAGTTAATACCCCTGAACTACAGCCCTTCCCCAAAATTGGGAGTGGGAACAGCCGTGTTCTCTAAAGTGGTGTGAATAAAATATACGTAGGGACGTTGGCAACTGTCTTACACTGACTGGCAGTGGCTCTTCAGGGGTTTTAGACGAGGCCTTCTCTGCTCTGCTGGGGATTGAACAGCAGACCTTCTGCATGCCAAGCAGATGTTCTGCCACTCAGCCGCCGCCCTTCGATTCCCGCATTACAGGGGGTTGGGCTAGATGACCGCTGGGTCCCTTCTAACCCTACAATGCTACAATTCCATTCTCTCCACCTGCTTCTCTCTCTGACAGGGTTCGGCTGAACGGCACAGCTTGCTTTGAGGTCCTCGGCAAGCATCTCGCAAGCCACAATTGGGTCACACGGGCAGCGTGTTAAACATGCTGGAGAGAAGTCTGTGCCTTGTTTCTGCTTCAGATATAATTTAGTATGGTCATATGCAAGCTTCGTCTTACAAGCCGCAATTGATTCATGTGAGCAACAAGGCATGCTTGCGTCTCTCCTGAAACCACATGACCTCTGGCTCGCAATGTACTCTAGCAGTGCAATAGGCTCCCAAAACTTTAGACGTGAGTCTTTCTGCAACAACTTCTGCGTACTTAAATTTTGTTTGCTCGTTTTTTTCTGCTCTGGCCTCCAGCCAGGGTGAGGAATACACCCGTTCGCTGTGGATTTCATGAGACGATCACCTGTCTTTGGTGAGGGAACAGTTCCACATTCTCTTTCACCTGATGCCCTCAGGACTGAAGAACTTCCAGGATCCCACCCCTCCTTCCCTGCCTTCTATTCTCCTTTCCTTTTTCAAAAAGGAAAGGAAACCTTGAAAACATGTGGTTTCTTTGGAATAGCTCGGCTTGCTAACTTTGCGGGCAACCTGCCATCTTAGCAGCCGTGAGATAATCTGCAGTTAATTTAAGCAAGCAGCAGCAACAACAACAACAGAAAATGCCTTTGCGCTGGTGGTTATAGGGGAATTTGGGAAGCCAGCCGTGTTGCAACACGGTGGGCCGGTCTCCACCTTTTAAAGGAGGCCGGTCCCTGGCTGTGACGTCGAGCTCTCTCCTCCTTGCTCCAGAAGCAACAAGGAACATTGCTTGACTGACCAGAGGTCCAAGTAAGTTCTCTCTCTCTGCTTCTGCCCAGCTCTCTCTGTCGCTTCCATTTAATGCTCTGACACTGAGGAATGTGTTGCCAAGCAAATGCACAATGACCTCTTGACTGAGCTTCGCTTTAAGTGGACAGGGGACTGTTGTTCTTTCCATCCCGCAAAAGCCTCTTTTTTTAGCACGCTCATGAATTGTGACTTGTTCAGGCCTCTCGGCCACTGTTTGTTGTCTTATTTTTAAATGCCTATTTATATGTTACTTGCTCAGCAGGGCTTTAACTCAGTGGCAGAACCCTTGCCTTGCATGGAGAAGGTCCCAGGTTGAGTTCTCAGAGACCCTCTGCCAGTCAGTGCAAGCTATATAGAGCTGGGTGTTCTCTGTATAAGGGAGCTCCCCATGTTCTTTGGAGGGAAAGACCTGTAGCTCAGTGAGAGAGCATGCAGGAGATCCCAGATTCAATCCCCGAGACCTCCAGCTATGACTCGGAATGTCCCCTGCTGGAAACCCTGGAGAGATGCTGCCAGTCAGTGTGGACAGTATTGAGTTAGGTGGACCAATGGTCTGAGTCAGGATAAGGCAGCTTCCTATGTTATGAATATCGATGCAGAATAGAACTGCCCCAGTTTCCAGTCTGTTCCATTCAAAACCTGAGACCCAGAGACCTGCCAGTAGGGCTGTGCTGAGGAACTGCAATTCTGTGGATTGAAATCTGCAGATCCGGGATGGAATCCTTCTTCAGATTTTGCACTTGTTTGCACTTTCTGATGCAGTTCTTGGTGGGATAGCGTGTGCACAAAAATGAGAAAAATAAATAGGCAACGTTTTGAAGAAAAGAAGGAGAAAAACCAGCTGAGTTCTGTTGGCCAATCCCCTTTAAATCATGCAGGATTATTCATTGACTGATAATCTCCAGATTCAGGGGCAGAATGACCCTGGAACCTGACTTTTGGGCACTGGCATGATCAGGTAAGGACTTTGGGGCAGGTGTCCAGAGTCCAGCACAATGAGTAGGAAAGCCACCAAATTAATTGGTTCTGGTTTACCACTTTTTGGAGTAAGTTAAAAAAAACGATCTAACCAGAAGAGTCCGCGACCAGAAAGAGGAGGAACACCACGAAGAATGGAAGAAATTTAATGATTATTTAGCTAAATTTGTTAAGCTAAAATAACTGGAAGTAGCGTCCAGATACTTAATGGGCTTAGGATTGTATTTATGTTAACTGATAAAATAATATGTTTTATACAAGAAGGAGAAGATTTAAAGATGTTAATGTTTAATTTAAAGGGTATTAAAATTGGGATTTGGAAAACCGTTATAAGGATATGCAATGAAATTCAACTAAGGGGAAACGAGGAAGTCGTTTAACAAAGTAAATAACTGTTATTTTCAATAAGGTTATGATTTATGTTTGTTATGTTTTGTTTGTTTTATGTTTTTGTTTGTCGTTGATATTGTAAAAACTAATAATTTTTTGCAAAACACACACAGAGAGAGAAAAACCCCATCTAAATCAGGGGCATGAAACCATGCAGTCCAAAGTTTGGAATCATAAATCAAAGGGGGGAGGAGAGAAAGGAAACCAAAGGTGGTTGAACCAGGCTTGCGCCAGGCAGATGTAGGGCAGAGCAATATTTTATTTCCTATTTATTTATTTCATGAGATTTGTATCCCGCTGGATTGTAAAACCAACCAACCTCAAAGCAAAAAGAATAGAGCAATATTATTCATTGAAACAATCAAAACATTCAAATAATTAAAACCAGCAATAAACTAAAAAGCACATCAGCATTGTAAACATCCAGATAGGTTTGTCTAAACCAAAAAGTTGTTAGCAGGCATCAAAAAGAATACAGCGAAGGCTCCTGCCTACTATCAATTGGCAGTGAGTTCCAAAGTGCTGCTAGGCTAAAATATGGGTTTCTTATAAGCGCAAAGCGACTTTTGAACTCCTAACCCTTCCCAGGGATTGTGTGCAGTGGTGTCCATTGGGAGGGTGGAAGACCAACAGCAGGTGGAGCCAAACCAAAGAGAAGTGAAGCCAACTGATTTTAGTCTTGTCCCCATCCTCCTCACCTGCTGAGTTCTGCAGGGGGCAATCTTGAGCCTGAGGAGGGGGAAGTTGACAGGCAGGACCCCATCCCTGGACTTGCTGAAAGTAAGAAGGCAGGCAGCAGTTGGTGGGGCAGAACCTTGTTCACCCAAGTAGTCCAGCCTCCATGCAATGATTTCCTCACCACTGGCAATGGCGGAAGAGATATTCACTATGCCAGCTCCAGGGTTGCTGTGGTTTCCTTCTTGATTTGAAGGCAGGTTTAGGGGAAGTTATAGGTACTTTATAGGGATGCGGGTGGCGGTGTGGGTTAAACCACAGAGCCTAGGACTTGCCCATCAGAAGGTTGGCGGTTCGAATCCCTGCAATGGGGTGAGCTCCCGTTGCTCAGTCTCTGCTCCTGCCAACCTAGCAGTTCGAAAGTACGTCAAAGTGCAAGTAGATAATAGGTACCGCTCTGGTGGGAAGGTAAATGGCGTTTCCGTGCGCTGCTCTGGTTCGCCAGAAGCGGCTTAGTCATGCTGGCCACATGACCCGGAAGCTGTACTTTGGCTCCCTCGGCCAGTAAAGCAAGATGAGCGCCGCAACCCCAGAGTCAGCCACAGCTGGACCTAATGGTCAGGGGTCCCTTTACCTTTTTATAGGTACTTTATAGAATAATAGAATTGTAGAGCTGGAAGGGACCCCAAGGGTCATGTAGTCCAACCCCCTGCAATGCAGGAATCTTTTGCCCAATGTGGAACTCAAACTCATGGCCCTGAGCTTAAGAGTCTCATACTCTACCAACTATCTGCTTAATTTCTTTCTCTGCATCCAAGGAGGGAGGTCTAATGCTACATTTGGCCCTTGTAACACCCTCTCAGGAACTGTGGGTTGAGTTACCTAAATGTATCACCATTTGTAAAGCACTCACATGATTTGATTAAGTATTTGATTAAGTGGTACAGTATACAAATCTTGCTTGTGTTTGGGTATTGCTTGCCGGCTTCCCACAGGCAATTGGTTTGTTATTGTGAAAACAGGATGCTGGACTAGATTGGACCGCTGGCCTGATCCAGCAGGGGTTTTCTTATTTCTTATTTTCTCACCAAAGGGCTGCACCAACAAGTACAAAATAACCCCTCTGCAGCACCACAAATCCAACTCAATGGTGTAACGTTGGAAAATGTCAATCACTTTTCCTACCTAGGCAGTTATCTTTCCACAAGGGCCAACATTGAAGCCAAAATCCAGCATTGCCTAAGCTCTGCAAGTGTGGCTTTCTCCCGATTGAAGTGCAGAGTGTTTGAGGACTAGGACATTCACAGGGAAACCAAAATGTTTGTTTACAAAGCTATTGTACTACCAACCTTACTATATGCTTGTGAAACATGGACCACTTATAAACGGCATCTCCAACTCCTCGAAAGATTCCATCAACAGTGTCTCTGAAAATTTTTACACATCACTTGGGAAGACAGGCAAACTAATATCAGTGTACTGGAAGAAGCAAAGACCACCAGTGTTGAAGCAATGATTCTTCAACATCATCTTTGTTGGACTGGTCATGTTATGCGGATGCCTGATGATTATCTTCCAAAGCAACTACTCTATTCCAAACTTAAAAATGGAAAGTGTAATGCTGGTGGTCAACAAAAGAGGTTTAAAGACTGTCTCAATGCAAATCTTAAAAAATGTAGTATAAACACTGACAATAGGGAAACACTGGCCTGTGAGTGCTCCAGTTGGAGAACAGCCTTTACCAAAGGTGTCATGGGCTTTGAAGACACTCAAACTCAGGACGCAAGGGAGAAAAGTGCTACAAGGAACGCATGATGCTTGGCAAATCCACACCGTGATCAACTCCCGCTCAGAAACCAATGTCCCCACTGTGGAAGGACGTGTGGATCCACAATTGGCCTCCACAGTTACTTACGGACTCATTGTTGAAACCGGGTTTATGGAAGACAATCTTACTCGGCTACGAGTGATTGCCAAAGAAAGAAAGAAGATACTAAATAAGAATAAGGAAATAATATTATTGACGGGGAAAGCAAGCAGCAATGGGAACTCTCACTTCATTTAGAGAAAAAAATAATAACTGCTTAATTGATCGAACGAACCAACTTCTAAGTGGTTGACATAAAGCAATTATCAATAATGCACAAATGCACCAATAATACACAAATATTTAAAACAAGCATAAAGAGCTAAATTATAACACTTGCCTTTGTGCCCTCCTTGTGGGAACCCCAGAGGCATTTGGATGGTCATTATTGGAAACTGGATTAGAAGGGCATTTTGTCTCATTTAGCTGCAGTTTTATAAGTGCAAGAGGTTCCTCCTTGTTTTTCCCCCCTCCACACCATTCATGATATTTATAGAGATTTTTACAACTTGACAATTGGGCGAAGAGGAAGAATGACTTACAAGGCATGTTGGAGAATTCTGAAGAAAACAGAAAGGGAAGTGGATGTTGGCTTATTCTTTCTGAAAGCAGCCCTGTTTAGGGAAGCTTTTAATGTTTAATAGGTTATTGTGTTTTTAATATTCTGTTGGAAGCTGCCCAGAGTGGCTGGGGAAACCCAGCCAGATGGGTGGGGTATAAATAAATTGTTGTTGTTGTTGTTACCAGAGCAGAAATCAGTGCAGGGAATATGAACAGTATTTTCTGTAGTGTTGCTTTCAGTCTGCAAATGGTACAGAGTTGATTGTGTTCCCCAACCCAACCCCAGATCTGCATTGTGCTTCCTTTGCATTGTGTTGAAAGGGGCGCAATAACATAAAGACAATGTAACTTGCACAAATCGAGCCATTTTGCCACAGTGGACAGCGAGATTAAGAATGCAGGTTTTTGGCTTAAGACGAACTGCAGTGGAATGGAAACGGCGCTGCATGCAATGAGTATATGGCGGAATGGAAACAAAGCCTTCATACAGGCCTGCTTAGGAGGCTACAGGCAAGTCCTAGCAATGGTCATTTGGGTCATCCCATTCACACATGCAAGCTATTTTGCAATGCAGTGGCTAACCTGCATGTGCAAATCTGGTCTTGGCTTAGGCAGGAAAACATTTGTTTTGATCCAGCAAAGCCTTTGAGGCTGTAGTATACATGTGTAAGCACAGGCCCACCTAGCTCTTGGCTGCAGTGACTTTCGCATCCCCTATTTACTCCCGCTTGCACAAATGCTCTGCTTGTGCATGAAAGGTTTTAGGATCTGAAGCAGTGACTTGCCCCAGGCCGCTTGTAAGAATTGGCTCGATAGAGTACACCAAGCGCAGTCTTCCAGATTTTGCTGGACTCCTCAACTTCCATCACCCCCAGCCTGCATAGCCAGGGATGATTGGAACTGGAGTCCAGCAATATCTGGTGCCTGCATTGGCTACCTCTGGATTAGACCACCAGTCTCCATCTAGGTCACTCCTTCTACATTGACTGGCAGGGACCGTCCATGATTTCTGGCAGGGGACTCTCCTCTCCCTCCTTGGAGATGCCACAGAGTGAACTGGGGACATTTTGCATGCAAAGCACGCCCTCTGCCTCTAAAAGAGATACCCACCCCTTATTATTTGCATCTAGGGCTGTGAGGTACATTGCATCTGAATGAGGAGGTTCTACCTAGGACCCATGTACCTATGGGACCGCCTCTCCTGGTATGCCCCACAGAGGACCTTAAGGTCCACAAATGACAACACCTTGGAGGTCCCAAGTCGCAAGGTGGTTAGATTGGTCTTAACTAGGGCCAGGGCCTTTTCAGTACTGGCCCCGACTTGGTGGAACGCTCTGTCACAAGAGACTTGGGCCCTGCAGGACTTGACATCTTTCCGCAGGGCCTGCAAGACAGAGCTGTTCCGCCTGGCCTTTGGTTTGGACTCAGTCTGACCCTTATGTTTCACTCCCCTTATGGTCTTGATCTATGGGCTACTTTTAAAATGAGGCTGCATTTTAAATTGCATTTTAACCTGTATTTTAAATTGGTCCCCCCATTATATTTTTATTGTAATTTTACTGGTGTTAGCCGCTCTGAGCCCGGCTCTGGCTGGGGAGGGCAGGGTATAAATAAAAATTATTATTATTATTATTATTATTATTATTATTATTATTATTACCGAGTAAGACATTTTGCTGCCACTGGGCTGGCAGCTGAATCTTTCTGGCAAGAGGAGGACATTCTCCACCGCACCTGAAGCAAAATGCTAGTTTTTTGTCGTTTTGTCGTTTAGTCATGTCTGACTCTTCGTGACCCCATGGACCAGAGCACGCCAGGCACTCCTGTCTTCCACTGCCTCCCGCAGTTTGGTCAAACTCATGCTGGTAGCTTCGAGAACACTGTCCAACCATCTCGTCCTCTGTCGTCCCCTCCTCCTTGTGCCCTCCATCTTTCCCAACAACAGGGTCTTTTCCAGGGAGTCTTCTCTTCTCATGAGGTGGCCAAAGTCTTGGAGCCTCAGCTCCAGGATCTGTCCTTCCTCAGGGCTGATTTCCTTCAGAATGGATAGGTTTGATCTTCTTGCAGTCCATGGGACTCTCAAGAGTCTCCTCCAGCACCATAATTCAAAAGCATCAATTCTTCGGCGACCAGCCTTCTTTATGGTCCAGCTCTCACTTCCATGCATCACTACTGGGAAAACCATAGCTTGAACTATACAGGGGGGTGGGGGGCAGACTGACCATGTGACATTCACTCCTCTGTTATCCTACAGAGGAACATCTTGGGGTGTGGGCATTCAGGAAGAACAGCTAGCGGGGGCTGCCACCCACACTCCTCAGCATCTTCTGCTTAAGGCAGGTCGCTTCACTTTGGCTAATGGTAGGGGAGGCCCTGGTTATCATGATCCTGAGCTGATCTAATCCCTCCCAGTCCCATCCCATGGAGGGATAAACCAGTCGCTCTGCAAATCACCCTTCTATAGAGCCAGTGTGGTGTAGTGGTTAAGAGCGGTAGTCTCGTAATCTGGGGAACCGGGTTCGCGTCTCCGCTCCTCCACATGCAGCTGCTGGGTGACCTTGGGCCAGTCACACTTCTTTGAAGTCTCTCAGCCCCACTCACCTCACAGAGTGTTTGTTGTGGGGGAGGAAGGGAAAGGAGAATGTTAGCCGCTTTGAGACTCCTTCGGGTAGTGATAAAGCGGGATATCAAATCCAAACTCCTCTTCTTCTCTTCTTCTTCTGAGTTGCTGCAAGGGTCAGGGCACTTCGCACATGGTGCTGTTAAAGGAATGACTGTGGGTGTTCCCTGGTGAGAGCAGGGAGGTCCAGGGGTGGGGAGAGCTAGCCTTTCCCTCTTATTTAGCCTGAGCTTCATTTGAGAGCGAGAGCAGCCGAGCAGAGAGCTATACTACTCCCTATAAATACATACCGGTACTTGGCATAATTAGTAGGTAGAAGTGGTTCTCTCTGGAATTTCTGTATTTCGGGTCTATGTAATTCCCCACATGTTTTCTGCTTCGGTTTCTATTTACGTTTAAAGAGATACTTATCTAATTGTAATCTGTGGGACTTTAACATGTGGGTTCTTTTGCTTGTACATTGTGTATTCTTTGTCATTTTCTTTTTAGGGTGTTGCGAATCCTCTCAGAGATTTTCTGTGCAATATGGAGCAGATTCCTAAATAAAGCATCCTGCTTTTGTAATAATAATAATAAAAACCCATCCAAGTCAGCAGTCATCATATAAGATCTTGTGTCGGTTGTTATCATTTGTTAGATCTAGCTTGTGTTTTTAGTTGTGATAATATTTTGTTTGCTTTTGAAACGTTTAGAGTTTGTTTTATTTTTTTAAAAAATACCGAGTTCCTTTGGAAGGAAGCGCTGGACAAAAATCTAATGAAACAGAAGTGTTGAAGAGTTCTGTGAAGCACCTGAAACTTGCCCATTTTTTTTTTTTTATCTTGAGCAGAATTTGGCTGCTTTTCTGCCCTCTGCTGAAATGCAGTGACAATTGTGCTGTCAAGCCATTCAAAGAAGGGGAGGAATGAATTGAAGTGGGAAGAAAAGGAGGGCTGGTCAAAATGTTTTAAAATTAAAATTTTTTAAGAGGTCAGATTCCCTGGCTGGTTAATCATCAGCAGGAGATAAAGGGACCCAAAGTGTGTTTGCTCTGCATTGCAACTGAAGTTTGTTTAGAGATCTTGAGCATGGCTTGCTTAAAAGGTTAAAACTCTTGCATACAAAATGCTGACGTGGTTGGTGTTTGAGGGCACAGAACTGTGAAGTCAGGCCTTTTTTTGGCTACAAGCGGAATTATAAATAGTTTTTTTTAAGAGATCTACTTGGCAACAGGAGCTGGTCAAAATAAACCCCAGCTCCAGAGCTGAAACTGACACAAAAAAGAACAGTTGGTATCTTGGGAACTTGCTGCCATGGGATACTTTAATGGCAATTTTTAATGCTATCCTATGCAGAACTATTTTAGCTATTGGTATGAGGTGGGTTTTTTTAGGTAATACATCATACAACCAAAGGCGGAAGAGAAAAGAGAGTACAGTGTTACCTCCAGTTACGAATGGAATCTGTTCCGGAGGCCCGGCCGTATCCCAAAAATTTTGTAACTGGAGGCGCCCTTCTGCACATGTGTGTAGCGCAATTGAGAGCTTCTGTGCACATGCACAGTGTGCAGAGTGCTTCTGCGCATGTGGCAAAACCTGGAAGTATACACTTCTGGATTTGCCGCGTTCGCAACCCAAGGATTACGTTACCCGAAGGTAACATAACCCGAGGGTCCACTGTACACTGGCAGCATGTGCTGATTCTATTACTTGGACATCAACAGACCCATACTGTACCGTTAAAATAATTACTGTACCACAAAGTTATCCAGAGTTGCTTTTGTATCTCAAGAGGCAAACTCGGTGAGAGAGAGCAGTCAAAACAACTTTAGTTGGAGTTAAGGGTGACAAACAATTCTCCCTTTCCCATAAAATTTTATGGAAGCTTTTTCATAATACAATACAGTGGTACCTCGGTTTTTGAACGTAATCCATTCTGGAACATGGTTCAACTTCTGCAACGTTCGAAAACCGAGGCGCAAAGGGTGGTCTGCAAATTGAAATGAGAAAATTGTGAAACACTCAGCGGAAGCCATTTGACTTCTGGGGCACGTTTGAAAACAGAAAGATTAACTTCTGGGTTTTCGGCGTTCAAAAACCGAAACGTTCGACTTCCGAGACGTTCGAAAACCGAGGTACCACTGTACTAATTTAAATAAAAACAAAAAGGAAAGAGAAAAGAAAATGCAAAGTCTTAACTCTTGTCTCACACAGAAAGGGGTGGAGCCTCACAGCTTTCACTTGGGAGCTTCCCTTTCTTCTCCCGGTCTCCCACCCTGGAAGATCTTCCCCTTCCTTGCGTCTCACAAAGGGTCCTAAGGGTGACAGACAATTAAACTGAGCAATCAATAACGAGATTCCTTTTGTGCCAGGGATTCTTGCCAGTGGGGAGCAGGGCTTGAGCAAATGGCGAGCGGGTCTGCAATCAAATAGCAAGCAATTGCAAAAACAGACAACGGGTATAGCTCTTACCTGTGTCCAGTAAGCTACATTCCAGCCACCCAAAAGTGGCTGCACATCTCTGTGTCCTGTGTTCAGGCAAGCATAAACCTGACACTACCAGGACCTCTGATAGAGGCAGCCTGTTGATGTGACATTGCTCTGTGTAAACAGCTGAGGTGGCTCAGATCCAAATCCAGGTTGCTGGTTCTCCCATTTTGCATCCTAAACTGAAGCCATGCTGAAGGTTGGGACTCAGTCCAATACATGAAGTGCTATCATTAAGGAAATGACATAGCTGTTATTCCTATTCCCCCCCCCCCCCCGACAGAAAGGTCTGTGTTCCCGAGCTAGAAGATCAGCATCATGGATGGGAAAATGGTTCTGCAGCAAGCTAAAGACAACCCCCCATTCTTGGACAAAAGCCATGGGTCGCACCTGGTGAAGAGAGCATGTCTCCCTGTTTCAAAGCTAAAGGTAAAAACCTCCCTTTCTCTGCAACAAATGGCCCAAAAATTCCAGATGGTTCAAAAGCATGGTCCCTAGCCTTGTCTCCCTCTATTTTCCTTCCACATATTAAATTGTAAGCTCCTCGAGGCCAGAGACTTGTCTGTTTTTATCTCTGTGGTTGAGATGTTATATTATCTTGAGACAATAGCTCCTTTGTCAACTCACGTTTTCCTTTGTGTTCACCCCAGATATTCCTCGGGGCGCTGTCGTTTTCCTTCTTCTCCAAAGCATTTACGGGAAGCTACATGAAGAGTGTGATGACTCAGATTGAGAGGAGATTTGAAATCCCATCGTTTGTGGTCGGACTGATCGATGGAAGCTTTGAGATAGGTATACCCGCTTCCTTCCCCGCACCCCTCACAGGAGGTAACCTACCGTAGTTTCGCAGTGGAAAGGCCTTCTGCCTCTCCCTGAACCACCCCCACCCCGCAATTCATCACATCTCTTCTCCTGATGCAGGAAACCTATTGGTGCTGATCTTGGTGAGTTACCTGGGGCCGAAAGTTCATCGTCCAAAGGTGATTGCGGTTGGGTGCCTCATCATGTCCATGGGATCGTTTGTGTCGATTGTGCCTCACTTCATAATGGGGCGGTAAGTACAGCATTAACAATTACCAACATTAGCATCAGTTACAGATAGGTAGCCGTGTTGGTCTGCCATAGTCAAAACAAAAAAATTCCTTCCAGTAGCACCTTAAAGACCAACTAAGTTAGTTCTTGGTATGAGCTTTCGTGTGCATGCACACTTCTTCAGATACACCCTGAAGAAGTATCTGAAGAAGTGTGCATGCACACGAAAGCTCATACCAAGAACTAACTTAGTTGGTCTTTAAGGTGCTACTGGAAGGAATTTTTTTGTTTCAACGTTAGCATCCTTAGGGAAATGCCTGTCACCAGGGAGGGTGGTCCATGGGCCAAGGCAAATGAGAATCAAAAAGAGGACCAGAGTGTTGTGAATGCTTTGTAGAGGGAAGGACTATAGTTAAGCAGCAGATCAATTCTCAACATCTCAAAGTTGGACTGAGTGGAGTGAACCATATCGGAAGCCTCAGAGAGTTTCTGCTGGGCAGCGCAGACATTTGTTTTGGCCCTGTGTTGTTGGCAGGGGATGCTTGGATATCACACTCTTCATTGGGGCTTTGCTAGAGAAGTTTGGGCATACCAAATATCAAGGATAGCCATTGGGCATGGCAGTATTTGGGCTGTTGTCGAGAAGCCTTGGTTGTGAGGTCATGGGCATAGGCCCCAAAGTCTGGTTGCGATGGCACTGCTCCCACGAGGAAACCAGGACATAAAATTAGGGTCGTAGCAGACCATCTGCTTCACATGCAGAAGATACCATGTTCAATTTTCAGCTGCATTTCTGGGTCAGGCTGGGAGGAACACCCTGCCTGAAACCCTGGAGAGTTGCTCCCGGTCAGTGTGGACAATGCTGCGCTAGATGGATACAATGCTTTTAACTCAATATAAGTTAGCTCCCTATGCTCCTATGGACCATTCAGAATTAAAGGGTATTAATAGTATCCTCAGGGACATGGGTGGTGCTGTGGGTTAAACCACAGAGCCTAGAACTTGCCGATCAGAAGGTCGACAATTCGAATCCCGCAACGGGGTGAGCTCCCATTGCTCGGTCCCTGCTCCTGCCAACCTAGCAGTTCAAAAGCACATCAAAGTGCAAGCAGATAAATAGGTACCATCCAGTGGAAGGTAAACAGCGTTTCCGTGCACTGCTCTGGTTTGCCAGAAGTGGCTTAGTCATGCTGGCCACATGACCGGAAGCTGTACGCCGGCTCCCTCGGCCAATAAAGTGAGATGAGCGCTGCAACGCCAGAGTCATCTGCGACTGGACCTAATGGTCAGGGGTCCCTTTACCTTTACCTAATAGTATCATCATCAGCATTATCATCATTGTTATTATTAACAAATATTTTAAAACCTTCCACATTTCCATCACATAGAATTTGTTTCTTCCTTCTTCTTTTTAAAGTTACAATTACAAGAGCATTGCGGTTTCTGTGACCAATTCTTCTGCGAGTGTGTCGGCTTGCTCAACAACCATTCCTCCCCACCATGTGATAGACGACTTGGAAAGTTTTCAAAATGCAAGTGCTCTTGGTAAGCAAAACTTTGGTGGCTCCCGAGGTGAGCTGTGCCCCAGTCTCTTGGTGTGCACATGAAGAGATGCAGGGCATAATTTTATCATGTAGACTTATTAGTCTCTCTCATGCCCTGACACCTTTTGGGCAGGTTGCTGTATGGCCTTATGCCACCAACACCTCTTTATGTAGCAACTGGTACTGTGATTTTCCAGGCTGAACAATTCATATTCTCTCGCAACAGCCCTCTAATATCAGTCTCTATTGTAGCCATAAGAGAACTACCCCTGTATGAAACGATGGTTGCATATGCACCATTCATTCAAACCAAACACCTCCCAACCCCTCAAAATCAAGGGATCTGTAGTTTACCCCATAAAGCTGCAATTACCAGCACCCTTAACAAACTACAAACAAACTTGGAATTCTTTGGGGTGTATGTGTGTGTTTTGAATGTGCTTTAAATGTATTGCTGAATGCACATTGATCTCTGAGCAGCAAGAGACTTCAGCGATTTCTGTGCTTACCCAAGTGAACGCCATTGGAAATGCGGGTGTCTTTGGGATATATGCCTTTATTTGCACATCTATACAACCCAAGCATGGTATGGAGGAGCTCACAGCATTCACACCCTAACTGATCTTGCTTCCTCATCTGGTTAGCCCCAAGCCTCTACTTTGGGTATCCAGCTTCCAGCTCCAGCCAAAACTCACACAGCTCCACTTGGCCTATTGTTCTCTATCCTAGGATTGACGTGGCTTGAGCCAAGTGAGGTGAGGAAAGGCCCACCCATTTGTCTCTATGGCACTCTGTGGTACTTAACTGGACAGCTACAGTATGACTATTCCCTTAGCAAAGGAACTAGATAGACCTGTTTATCAGGTTTCCTCTTATACATCCTACCTGCACAGGATACAGGATTGCATCTTTGGAAAGGACTGCTGGGTATCATCCAGACCAGCAGTTAAAATCAATTTATGCTCTCCGCTGCTGCTACAGTTGCTATTACAGTTGCTCCTCTTCAATATTGCTTGCCAGACCAAGGCTTTCAGTTTTCAGTGTCCAAGTTTGGCTGGCATTGAACATCTGTAGCTGAAAAATCTGTTTCCCATCGTCATTCTCTTTAACTGGGAACTCAGCTGGTCGAGTGTCCACAGTGCATTTTGCGAGCTCCCTTTTTCTAACAGCAAACTTAGATGGCTGAGAGCCGGCAGGATTTAAGCCAGAACCAGGTCACTGGGGAACAAGTAGACTTATGGGGAACTCCAAGGTTTACAGGAATATAAAAAACCAAAATAAAAAGTCGGGAAACAGATCTGCAGGGGGAAACAAAAGCAAAAGACTTAAGGAAGACTCAGCACATTCAGTGCTCATGGAATAGTGATAGTACAAGCAGCTTTTCTTCTTCTTTATCTCTTTGACTTTGTTTTTGTAATTGTTCTTGCTGCTGTCCCAGCTGCTGGCCACTAAGCAGAAGCATGCAATTGGGTGGGTGAGGCAAAAGAGGGCAGAACAACAAATGCTCATTGCACCTCTGTACAGTAGGCTAGTTTCCACACGCACACCAACACACACCTGTATCCTCCACCCAGGCAAGCAAGAAGCGCGATCAGAGTTCAAGGACACATTCCACACAGGCAAAAACACCCATGGATGGTGCAAGGGAGACAGCGATGGGTTGTGGCCTGGGGAGAGTCACTTGGAGGGCCACATTTGACATCCAAGCCAGTCATTTCCCATTAGGCTAAGGGGCTAACCCTACACCAGGGGTCGGCAACCTAAGGCCCATGGGCCAGAAGTGGCTCATGGAGGCTGTTTAACTGGCCCACGAGCCGAAACCGAGCCACTCGCTTGGCAAGTCCCCATGCGCTGTGCTAAACCGGTGCAGCGTGGTGCGGGGACTCTCTTCTGCGGCTCCGGAAATTGCTTCTGCGCATGCCCAGAGGCCGAAATCACGTCTGCGCATGTCTGTGGCGCCAGAAATCGGTTCTGCGCATGCCCAGAAGCCAAAAACCGCGCCTGCAATTTTCAGAGTCTGGGCATGCGCAGAAGCGATTTCTGGCGCCGCGGACATACGCAGACGTGATTTTTGGCATTGCGCTGTGCTGGTCTGGCCCATGGAGGATCTCCGCAGGAGTGATCCAGCCCATGCCCAGTAAGCCTTGCCAACCCCTGCCCTACGCAAACCCGAAGTCCCTAAGCTGGTTGGATGGCGCCTTGTACACCTCCTTCCAGCAACTCCTGCAGCCAAGCTGGTGCCAAACATCTTGCTCTGCTTTCCTTTGGACCACGTCAGTGATACTGAGAGGGGAGTCTTGTCATCTGGGCAGACCAGGACCTCCATACACACTGCCCAGGCTTGCGCCCAGGGGAGGTCACTTTGGTGATGCTAAGGCAGCAAAAACAACATGGGAGGCAGCAGTTATGAGTTACTGGTCTCTGCAGCCACAGCAGACGCTGTGATCCATGGACTCTCCTTGTTTTTAAGCAGAGGTTGGGTGGCCATTTGCCATGGGTGCTTTAGCTGAGATTCCTGCATTGCCCCTGGGGTCCCTTCCAGCTCTACAATTCTGTGAGACAGGTGCTCTAGATTTCATTGGTGCAATGGCACGGCAGTGGCACTGGTGGTGGAATCTACCCACCTTTTGCTCTGTGCCACCTCTGCAGTTTGCATCTCTGCCCCCCTGACCCTTTGAAGCTGCCAATAGCCCTGCAAGGGAAAACGAATAGGGCACAGCAGATTCGTTCACCAAGCTGTGTGCCATCCTTTGCCCGCAGGCTGTGAAAAATCGACGAGCTCCTACCTGTGGCTGTTTGTCCTTGCTGGGAATATTCTTCGTGGAATTGGTGAAGCTCCCGTGATGCCCCTGGGGCTGTCGTACATCGATGATTTTGCCACGGAACAAAACTCGGCCTTTTACATAGGTAAAATAAGCGAGGCGATCCCATCCCATTAAAGATCAGAACTGGGTTGAAAAGCAGCCTTCTGAAGGTCTGCATTGTCTTACCAGCTCTTGGCTGTTTATTGGTTGCTTTAAAATATCTTAAGGCTGTTTATGTGCTGGTTTAAAATTTTTGTGCCTTCTCAGTCACAAGGCAGCTTAAGAATGCATATCAACCACCGAGGCAAACTGAACAGATAAAAAAGTGAGCAAAATTTGTGTGGAGAGGAATGGGCCTCGTATTCTTCCTCCCTGTCTCATTTGCAGGTTTTGATCAAAGAAGGCATTTTGTCAGGTTTCTGAAAAATAAAATTGGGGGAACTATCATTGGGTAGCCTCACAGTGGCCTCCAATTGCTAGCTGCCATCCTTTCTATCCCAGAATTACACATGACTTCCCCCAAAGAAGCAGTGATTCCCTACACATTGGAAAGACTGCTTCCCTAAAAATAATAATCCAGGGAGGAGTAATGTATGGTGTGGATTTGACCCGAGTCATGGCATAGCATTGCTCCAAGGTGGGGTACCTGGGACTGGAGCGAGATGATGGTTTTTAGTGGAGACTACCATTCTTTTTAGGGACGCGGGTGGTGCTGTGGGTTAAATCACAGAGCCTAGGACTTGCTGATCAGAAGGTTGGCGGTTCGAATCCCCGTGATGGGGTGAGCTCCCATTGCTCGGTCCCTGCTCCTGCCAACCTAGCAGTTCGAAAGCACATCAAAGTGCAAGTAGATAAATAGGTACCGCTCTGGTGGGAAGGTAAACGGGGTTTCCGTGCACTGCTCCAGTTCGCCAGAAGCGGCTCAGTCATGCTGGCCACATGACCCAGAAGCTGTACTCCGGCTCCCTCGGCCAATAAAGTGAGATGAGTCGGCCACGACTGAACCTAATAGTCAGGGGTCCCTTTACCTTTACCTTTACCATTCTTTTACAGGAATAGTGAGGGCATTGGGAATGTTTGGACCCTCGGCTGGCTTCCTGCTTGGATCCTACTGTGCTAATCTGTGGGTTGACATTGGACTGGTAGATACGGGTAAGGAACAAATACCCATAATCGTATCCATTGTTTCTTCTCTGTTAACGTTGACTCTCCTGTCCAGTGAGTGCTAAGTGCCAATTGTCCTCTTCTGCTGTGGCTTGGTAGCAATTGTTAGGCCAGACCCTAGACAACCCCCAGTAGGTCCTTCTGGAGCCCTGAGCTCTGGAAAATATTGTCTCAGCAGAGGACCACAGCCATCAGAAGACTGAAGAAGGTGGGCAAGGCTTTGGGTTCCAGTGACTTCATCCCATGATGCAGAAAGGGCCTGTTAGGAATTCACAAAATTAAGGTTCTCAGAGAGCTTTTCCACCTGCAGAACCAAAATGTGGATTTGCACCTCCTTACTCTCACCATTAATGTAGGGGGATGTAATCATAGGACGCCCTTCCCCATCCCAGTTTTGTCCCAGACCTTCCTGGGAATGTGGGCTTTTCCTATCCTTGGAAGTTATGCAATGGCTAAGACTGAAAAGTCCTGCATTTAAAGGGTGGAAGTTCCAGGACAACACTGGGGTGTGTAGGATGTCTTGTGGGTGTCCTTACATTAGTGGGGAGACAGGAAGGTGCTGTTCCACATTTTGCTGTGGTGTGGACAAGCCCAGCATCCAACCAGCTCTCTTCCATCAGAGGAAAGCTGTGTATTATCATCCATAGACACGTCCTAGAATATTTACTATTGCACACAAATAAATTTCAGGCTTCCAGCCCAGACTCCCTGTTAAACTAAACTAAACTCCCATTTGTGGTTTTAAGTACATTCTCCTACGATCTCTCCAGTTGCCAGATATTATCCTCTTAACCCTTCTCTGGCGCTAACACCCTCCATCATCTAAATTCCTGACTTCCTGCAGTGTTACCTCCACTTAGCCTGTCTCTCAGGCCCCATCTGCCCTATGCATTTGAAGCAATATTATGGCACTTTAAACAGTCATGGCTTCCCCTAAAGAATCCTGGGAGCTGTAGTTTGTTAACGGTGCTGAGACCCTAATTCCCCCTCACATAGCTCCAATTCCCAGTTTCCCAGTGAGGCACTGAAAAAATACTTCTGAATATCAGTTGGTATGGATCACAGCTGGAAGGGTGCTATTGCATCGGGTGGGCCACTGTGAGAACAGGATGCTGGACTCATAGGCCCTTGGTCTGATCCAGGAGGATCCTTCTGAATGTCTTACAATATGCCTGAGAAATCACCCATGGTTTCCGTGACTGAGCTGTGATTGCAGTTTAGATCTTTTAGATCCACATCTAACTTTTATCAGCTGGACCATACAGTGGAGAGGTGAAAGGTCAAACTGGGAGCCAACTGAGAACTGCAGTGATGAATAAGCAAAGTAGAGCAAAAGATGTAGATAATCTTTTTATTGTTATTATTTAAAGAGGCTGAATGTTCAATCTCTGTCCTTTTCTCCCAGATACACTGACAATCAATTCTAAGGATGTGCGTTGGGTTGGTGCCTGGTGGCTTGGAATACTGTTATGTGGAGCCATCAGCATTGTGGCCTCCTTCCCTTTCTGGTTCCTGCCTTACTCTTTGCCAAAACAAGGAGAAGAAAGCATAATTAAGAAGTCGGGTGATGTTTACGGAAACTCCAAGGATAGCTGTGGCAAAACGGAATCTCCAAAGCCACCACGGCTGAAGATCTCCAAAGAAACAAAAGGTTGACTGCTGAATCTCCTCCTCCTCCTCCTCCTCCTCCTCCTCCTCCTCCTCCTCTTCCTCCTCCTCCTCCTCCTCTGGCTCTCCTTCACTAGTTAATGTCGAGCTTCTTAAGAGCAATCGGCTTGGTGGGTGGCCCACTCATCCCCTTAAACAAAATAGAACAGGACTAGTGAAACTTGACTCTCCAGATGTTTCTGGACTCCAGCTCCCATCAACACCCACAGCATGGCCAGTGCTCAGGGATGGTGGGATTTGTAGACCAGAAACACAGTGTCCTTATTCTGGGGTGTTTGCAATTTAAAGTATAAACATACACCCCAAATATTATTGGAAGGTCACAATCCCTTTTATTAACACTCACCCCTACTATTTTGAAAACAGACATGATCTGTGGTGAAAAATGTGTGGTTATTCAGATAATTGGTCTCCATGGTCTCTTTTTGTAAGCAGATGTCCATGTAAGCATGTCAGGAAGGAACACAGGAATCTGCCTTCTACTGAGTCAGAGCACTGGTCCATCTAGTATTGTCTACACAGATTGGGGGCGGCTCTCCTGTGGCTTTCTTCCTGCCCTACCTGGAGATGCTAAGGATTGAACCTGGGACCTTCTGCATGTAAAGCAGATGGAGGAGCAGTAACTTGAGTCAGGGTACATATAGTCACCCAGTTCCGCTGGTTTCATGGGTGGGGTACCTTCATGAATTGTGGTCCCAGGATTCCTCTCAAGTTGCCCTGGTTCCCGGTACATGCTGGTATCTGTCATGGGCTCCATCCTCTGAGGAGCTCTTCTCAAATTTTAGCCACAGACCTAGATCGTATCCTTAACATTCTTCACTTAAAACTCATTAAGAAGAGTTAACTAACAATTTGCTGAATGGAACCATTTTACACACTGCGTTCCTCTCTCCCATCTGTACAATTTACAACTACAGTGGTACTTTGGGTTACAGACGCTTCAGGTTACAGACGCTTCAGGTTACAGACTCCGCTAACCCAGAAATAGTACCTCGGGTTAAGAACTTTGCTTCAGGATGAGAACAGAAATTGTGCAGCGGCAGCGAGAGGCCCCATTAGCTAAAGTGGTACCTCAGGTTAAGAACAGGTTATGAATGGACCTCCAGAATGAATTAAGTTCTTAACCTGAGGCACCACTGCAGATCTGAAGTAACAAATCTGAATACACAATGTAAATTAGTCTCAGCAGTAGAGAGAATCAGCAATGGCTTTTGATCCCGATGATGACAATAGAGATAATCGTAGGCCTTTCCTCTGCGAATACACTTGCTGATGTTTATTTTAGACATGGATATATTATATTTCCTTTCCAGATTTCTTCCCCACTTTGAAGAAGCTACTTGGAAACACCATCTTCCTGGTCTATTTACTCCTCATTGTCCTTCTGTACAATTCTGTCGTTGGCATGATAACATATGAGCCAAAGTTTATGGAACAGCAATTTAATATACCTGTTTCAAACGCCATCTTCTATATTGGTAGGTAAACTCCTCTCTTTGTTGTTGTGTTTCTGCCTTGCTGGGGTAAGTGTGTGTGTGTGTGTGTGTGTGCACGTGTGTGTGTGTGTGTGTGTGTGTGTGCAACCTATGTCACATGCAACCTATGTCAATGTTCCCTTTTCTTTTTCTAGGTGTGTTACTTTTACCTGCTACAATCGTGGGACTGTTCCTTGGAGGTTTTATCATCAAGAAGTTCAAGATGCAAGTGACAACTATGGCGAAGTTTGCCTGTGTCACTTTTCTGATTACCTTCTTGCTTAATCTGTTGTACTTTGCATTCAACTGCAAAGACCTCCAGGTGGCTGGCTTGAACATCAACTACTCTGGGTAAGTTGCGGTATTCATTTTTGGGACTGTGGGGCGGGAAATTCCATATTACCGTATTTTTCGCTCTATAACACGCACCTGACCATAACACGCACATCGTTTTTAGAGGAGGAAAACAAGGGGGAAAACATTCTGAATGAAACAGTGGATGTATCATTTTTGTGTTTCATGCTGTGGCCACAGACATGTGATCTGATGGTGAATTTGGGGTGACCCAATGCAAAAATCCTGAGAATCCCTGTGGATCCATGCTTTTTAACCACGTTTTTGCACCATTGCAGCCCCAGGCAACAGTGGGTGCGTGATTTTAGGGGGGCAGGCTGTAGCCATGGACATGCTATGTGATCTGATGGTGAATTTGGGGTGACCCAATGCAAAGATCCTGAGGATCCATGTGGATCCATGCTTTTTAACCACATTTTTGCACCATTGACGCGCGATTTGATTTTTGACTGATTTTTGCCTCCACTCGCCCCAGTCGGCTCCAGGGACCACACATTCGCTCAATAACACGCACAGACATTTCCCCTTCCTTTTTAGGAGAAAAAATCTGCGTGTTATAGAGGGAAAAATACGGTATACTGACTCAGACCGTTGGTGCATTTTATGTTGTGAACTGCCCTGTGATCTTCAGATGAAGGGTGATATACAAATTTAATAAAGAATAATGATCTAACTGAGTACCATCTGCTGGGGATGTCTCTTCATGCCTGCTCCTCTGCTGTCTACTTGTTGCTCATCTACTCATCTACGGTCTCCTGAGTTCACATTTAATGGTGAATCTACCTGGCTGGAACTTACCCAAACATACACGAGAACTAACATGCAGCCATCATAGTGCCACTCTGAATTTTGCAGTGCATTTCAGTATTATTATTATTATTATTATTATTATTATTATTATTATTATTTATACCCTGCCCTCCCCAGCCAAAACCAGGCTCAGAGCATATAGGAGGGTAAAATGTGCATAAGAATGCGTGCTATCTTTTACTGATGTTTTGCTTTTTTGTCAACCACTTTTCAGCCTTTCCCAACCTGTGGGTCCCCAGATGTTGTTGAACTACAACTCCCATCACCCCTAGCTAGCAAGGCTAGCTCAGAGATGATGGGAGTTGTAGTCCAACAACAGTGGGGACCAGCAGATTGAGAACCACAGACTTAGAAGTTTCATCACTATCAGGTGGTATATGAATTTTGTTGCATAAAATAAATTGGTGAAACTAACATGCAAAAATGGGTTGTATTTGAGAAAACATGCTTTGCCAAAATGCAGATATAACAGCAATAACAATTTATTACTTGTACCCCACCCATCTGACTGTGTATAAGTGTGTGTTGGCCTTGTTTTCCTTTTCCCTGAAGGCTTTGCTTCTGTTCCCTTTAGCATCAAAGAACCATCCTTCTCTAAGGAAGTATCATTAGCTGCCTGCAACTCGGACTGCAGCTGTGATGCAAGCCATTGGGATCCCGTTTGTGGAAGCAACGGGGTCACCTACATGAGCGCATGTTTAGCTGGCTGCAAAGCATCAGTGGGAAGTGGAAAAGATATGGTAAATGCAGATACCTGTTTGTAGGTTTGCTTCTTAAGAGGTTCATGCGTTCGTAGGATTGTATAGAGTTGGAAGGGACCCCAAGTTTCATTTGGCCCAACGTCCTGCAACACAGAAATCGCAGCTGGAGACTCCCTGACAGATGGCCATCCAACCTCAGCTTAAAACCTTCCAATGAAAGAGAGTCTGCCACCTTCTGTTGTGCAGTCCATTTGACTGCTAAACAGCTCTTGCTGTCAGGAGGTTCTTCCTAAAGTTTGGTTGGAATCTCCTTCCTTGTATTTTGAATCCTTTGGTTTGGGTCCTACCCTCTGGCAACACTGCTGACTTGCACCATAGTGAGGGTCACTTGGTCCGGTGTTCCAACATGAGGACTCGTGCCAGAGCGCCAGACCAAAAAAAAAAGAAAAAGAAAAAAGGGATATCTTGGGATGCAAACAGAAGCTGGGATTGGCTTCTGTGATTCCAGGATGCCCTGCTTAAAACAGGACAGTTGGCAGATATGCAGTATAGTTCTCTCTATTTTGGCTCTGGAGTATGTAAAATATTAACTTGCACCTTAATGTAAGCAAGACAAAGGAGATGGTGTTGGACTTTCGGAGGAAGAGAGGAGAACTAGCCCCGCTGTACATCGTGGAGGGCTGTGTGGAGAGAGTCTCTTCCTTTAAATTCCTAGGAGTGTATCTCAGTGAAGACCTTACTTGGAAAATCAATACAACCCAGGTGGCTAAGAAAGCCCAACAGAGACTCCATCTCCTCAGAGTATTGCAGAAGAACGATGTCAAACAACATTTGATGACCTCCTTCTACCGGTCCACAACAGAAAGTGTCCTTTCATACTGCATCACGGTGTGGTACGCTGGTTTGACATCAACTGATAGGAAGTGCCTACAGAGGGTGGTGAATACACCACAAGATATTATGGGCTGTCCCGTGAATCCTCTGGATGAAATAGCGGAAGAACGTTGCCTCAGGAGACTGAGGAAAATTCACACCCTGGCCAGCACTTTCTTGATCTCCTGCCCTTGGGCAGAAGATATAGAAGCATGATTAGTCGCACCAACAGGGTAAAGAACAGCTTCTATTGGTGGGCTGTTAGGCTGCTGAATGAAAAGATAACAACAGGGCAACTGACTTTTGGGTTTGGTGTGTGTGTGTGTCAGTAAACGAGGGGAATTAAGACTAAGAGAGCTGAGTGGGGGGTGCTCGTGTAATCTCACTTTATACAAGTTGTACAAGTGACAATAAAGTATTTCATTTCAACTAGATAGACTGCAATGGGTTCAGGACATCTTGTACCAAATGTTTTGCCCACAGGGGAAAATCCACAGGGAGCGGAGGTGCGGAATGTGAAAAAATGCAAGACACCCTGATAATGACGCACACCCTCTTCTCTCTCGCAGGTATTTCACAACTGCAGCTGTGTGGGAGTTTCGGGTCCTGGAAATCTATCGGCAGTTTTGGGTCAATGCCCAAGGGATAGTTGTACCAAAAGCTTCCCTTATTTCTTAGCCTTGACGTTCTTATTTGCGTTTGGTTTTTCCTTGGGAGGAACTCCGACGTACATGATTATGTTCAGGTGAGCACATTTTTAAAGAAATCCCCGTTTGTTTCCATCAAGTTTTGGGGCAGTTCAGCTCCGTAGCACAGTTCATCAAATCTGTATTTCAGCGGTTGCTTTTGCAGAATGCCCCTGGATTGCAAAAAAAAAAAAAAAAGGGTGCCATTTTCTGCTTGAAAATAATAATAATAATAATTGTAGCCAACGTTGGTGGGGGGTGCATCACTGAAAATCTGAATGCTTGCAGCTGAAATCTAGGACAAAATATAGCCGTTTTGCTAGAAGAAAAGTTTGGATTTGTTATCCTGCTTTATCACTACCCTAAGGAGTCTCAAAGCAGCTAACATTCTCCTTTCCCTTCCTCCCCCACAACAAACACTCTGTGAGGTGAGTGGGGCTGAGAGACTTCAAAGAAGTGTGACTGGCCCAAGGTCACCCAGCAGCTGCATGTGGAGGAGCGGGGAAGCGAACCCAGTTCACCAGATTACGAGACTACCACTCTTAACCACCACACCACACTGGCTCTTCTTTCCCTAAAAGCATTTACAATCAGGATTCCAAAAATCTTCTGCAAAACTACCAGGGTCCTAAGGTTCATATTCAAAGGTGCTCTTTAGAGCATAGGATTGAATTGCTGTGGAGAGCATCTTCTTCTGCCATTCACAACCGGGTGCAGGCCTCCCCTTCCCAACTGGCCACTTGCTTTCCTCTTGCTCCCTGTGTGCTCACAAGAAGTTTTTGCCTGCTTGCCTGCTTCCCACCACATGCTTCTCCTACCTGTCTGCCTGCCTGCCTCTCCCCAGCTGCCCCGGCTCAGACATGCTTGGAAATAGCACCAATAGTTAAGAGGCAAGCCAGGAGGCTTGCGACATAAGACAGGGCCTTTTCAGTGGTGGCTCCCAGCAAAGAGGCCCACCAGGTGTTCACTTTGACATCTTCTCTGGGCACTGGGCAGAGCCTTTTGTTTCAAGCCTTGGAATGTTTTTAACATCTTTTATTTGCTACTGCTGCTGGTGGTATTCTTCAGTCTGGTTCCATTAATGTTGGTTGTCACCGTGGCACTTTGGCCTGTGGTGCGGCTTCCTATTGCTGTTTTTACTGTTTAAGCTGCCAGTTTGCTGTGTTCTGTTTTTTAGGTTTACTTCTATTGAAGTATATTGGGTGTTTTGGTCATTTTTAGTTGTGTTCTTCAAGGCTCTGGCACAAGGCAATGGCTAAATTGCTCTCTGTTCCATTACACTTGGTCTGGAAAGTGTAGTTAGCGTGGAAGGCTGCAGTGGGAACATATTACATCTCTGCTCTCAAAGTCGTTTAGTCATGTCCGACTCTTCGTGACCCCATGGACCAGAGCACTCCTGTCTTCCACTGCCTCCCGCAGTTTGGTCAGGCTCATGTTAGTAGCTTCAAGAACACTGTCCAACCATCTCGTCCTCTGTCGTCCCCTTCTCCTTGTGCCCTCCATCTTTCCCAACATCAGGGTCTTTTCCAGGGAGTCTTCTCCTCTCATGAGCTGGCCAATTTGCTACTGGGCAACATTCTAGACTGGCGGCTGCTTGGTTACTGGGACAAAATCAAGATGTTACTGCTAATGTATAAAGACGTCAAGAGCTTGGAACGAATGTGCTGGAAGGATTGACTTATCCCACACATGCCTCTTAAAGCACTTTGATTTGTGGAATTAGCACTTTTACAAGTGGCACGTAATGTATGTTCCAAGCCTGGGAGGAATCTGTTTGCAATTTCATCATAGATCTTTCTTCTCAAAGCTGTAGATTTTATCTATATTTTGATAATTTCATTATGCAAACTTTTTTTTTAAGAAAAGTGTTTTATTTTATAATAAAAGAATATAATAAAAATAATTTTTATGTTATAATAACAATATTATTACCATTTTGTGTAAACCACTTAGAGTTGGGGTTTTTTTAAAATTAAGCATTATATAAATCTTGCTAAATAAATACATGGAACAAAACAACAACAGCATTATCGAAATAATTTGTGTGGATGCCTTAAACTTGTGGATTTTCAAATTCTGCACACTTGGATCAATCCACATTTGGGCCTCTTTAATTCCAGTGGATTGATTGGTTTCTAACAAGCGAGGTGTAAGTCTTGCCCTTGAAAATTTGCAGTTCCAGTTATTTAACGCTCTGCAGCTTGCACAACCCCATATCCTTTTGAGCCATGACATTCCGTTTATTTCAATGTTTCTGGACTGCAGCCGTTGTAGCAAAGTGTATCTGATTAATGTCGAAGGGAATTTTTTGAACTTCTGCATCCTGTTTTTTTCAGATCGGTTTCTCCAGAATTAAAATCCCTTGCTGTCGGCTTCGAAGCTTTCTGTGGAAGGACACTCGGTAAATGTTTCTTCCCTTTCCTTTTGTTTGAAGATCAGAAACAGAGGAAGGAACAAAGGGAGCTGCCTTCTACGTTGGCCAATATACCTCAGTATTGTCTACACTGACTGGCAGCTGCTCTCCAGGGCTTCAGGCAGGGGTCCGACGTCCTACAATAGACTGCTTTTTGGGAAGCTAATTCCGGGGGTGGGGGAGGAGGGAACACTGTGGGTGCCAGGCAAGGCCTCTGAAGGCACAAAGGCACATATGGGTGGTGACCACGATGGCAACCACTGCTTTAAACAGGCTTCCAGGTAGTGTGTTCTAAAGTTAAGGGCAAAGACAACACAAAGTCTGTAGAGCAGTGGGGATGGAGTTTTTCATATGTATCACACTGATATCATTGAAGATTCCTTCTCTTCTGGGTCAGCCTCAGTTGTACTCTATCTCCCTTGTTGTTTTTTTTAAAAAGTGGAAAAGTCGGGAATTACTTTTTGCTCTATAAGATGCACCCGACCATACGACACACCTAGTTTTTAAGAGGAGGAAAACAATAAAAAAAAAATTCTGAATCAAATCTTGTTGAAGAGGGAGGAGGACGGAGGATCAGACTTACCCCTTATGGAGCCCCTTATTTTCCTCCTCCCGCTTCGCTGAAGAGGCACTGCGCTGCTCTGCAGAACCCAGCAGAGCAAAAGGGAGAGCTCTTGGTCTTCTGGCTTCCCAGCGAAGCAGGATGAGGGATGGAAGGGGCTCCGTAAGGGCTCCCTTCCGTCCCTCATGGTGCATTGCTGTGAAGGCATCACAACAAGAGGCGCTGCGCAGCAATCCCTCTTGCTGTTCTGGCTTCAGCGATAGCTGCACAGCCTGCATTCGCTCCATAAGACGCACACACCTTTCCCCTTACTTTTTAGGAGGAAAAAAGTGTGTCTTACAGAGCGAAAAATACAGTTAGTCTCAAGACTTCCTGCATGTGAAGGTCTACCATGAACCCCCGGCCGTTTTCTGACTCTCGCTGGAAAAAACCCACGTTGCCAAGATCGAGCCAGGCTCACGTCACTGCTGGTGGTTCTTCTTTTCAGGCGGACTTCCCGCGCCTCTTTATTTTGGAGCTCTGATCGATACAACCTGCTTGAAATGGGGTGTGAAAAGCTGTGGCGAATCGGGGTCTTGCAGAGCGTACAGCACAGAGATGTTCAGGTGAGTCTCAACGGGAGCTGAGATTCCCTCTCTGTTTTCGTGCAAGCATTCTCAGCGTGAGAAAACCGAGAGGAAGAGTTTGGACTTGATATCCCGCTTTATCACTACCCGAAGGGAGTCTCAAAGCGGCGAACATTCTCCTTTCCCTTCCTCCCCCACAACAAACACTCTGTGAGGTGAGTGGGGCTGAGAGACTTCAAAGAAGTGTGACTGGCCCAAGGTCACCCAGCAGCTGCATGTGGAGGAGCGGGGAAGCGAAACCGGTTCACCAGATTACGAGCCTACTGCTCTTAACCTCTACACCACACTGGCTCCTTTCTCAGGGGGAGAGGAAATTCCTATGGCATTTGTTTAAGACGTGAGGGTTGGTTCATCTTACTAATATGCAAGGCAGTTGAAGTTAGTTTCCCTCCCTGTTTCTAAACCTCTTAAACAGTCTCAATCATATAGCTTGCTTCTCCCAGCCTGTCCCAAGAAAGAAGCTTCAAAAAAAACAAAACACTTTATTCTCATTTATTTATTGGGATAATATATTAAGATGCTGCCTTTCATACAACTTCACAATGCAGAGAACAAAAATCCTCATTTTATCCTCATAACAACCCTGTGAGGGAGGAGAGGTTGTGAGTGAGCAGTAGGTAAAGGTGACTCAATGAGCTTCATGGCTGGGTGGGAATTTGAACTCTGCTCTCCCTGGTCCTGGTCCAGCACTGTAACCACCACCCCACATTGGCAGCTGCTGGGTAATTGCATATAGAAGAAACCAACTGATCATTATAGAATCATATTGTAGAGCTGGAAGGGACTCTGGGGATCATCTAGTCCAACCCCCCTGCAATGCAAGTATATACAGCTGTCCCATAAGGGTTATTGGCATTATGAGCACCACACTCCAACCAACTGAGCTATCCAGAATGAGTTCCTTTGACACCTTCCCTGCCCCACTTTCTCTGGGGTAGATTAACCATGAACTGCTTTTAATTCTTTTAATTCTCAGGTATGTCACCCCTCCCCCCAAAGTGCTAAATGGCTTGTTTTGTTCTTCCTTAAGTTTTGTTGCACTGTTTGCGGGTCAATGCCCTGTAACCACCCGATTCCCTGGGAGCTAAATAACTACACCAGACGTTTTTAACCTTTTTGAGTCTATGGTTCCCTTGATCAACTACATTCTTTCTGTGGCACCCCTGTGGGGCTCAGGAGCCCAGTTATGTCACCCCTTGTCTGCAGAGCCGGCAGCCCCTCACCCCTTTTCAAACACCCTAGAGCAGGGGTCAGCAGGGGGCCGGTTCACTGTCCCTCAGACCTTGTGGGGGGCCAGACTATATATATATTTTTTGGGGGGAATGAACAAATTCCTATGCCCCACAAATAACCCAGAGATGCATCTTAAATAAAAGGACACACTCTACTCATGTAAAAACACCAGGCAGGCCCCACAAATAACCCAGAGATGCATCTTAAATAAAAGGACACATTCTACTCATGTAAAAACACACTGATTCCCGGACCGTCTGCGGGCCAGATTTAGAAGGCAATTGGGCTGGATCTGGCCCCCGGGCCTTAGTTTGCCTACCCAGGCCCTAGAGTGTTCCCTCAGCCCCCTCTCCTCTCCCCTCTCCTTGCGAGTCCTCCGGGCAGCCACTGCCTGGGAAGCACCCCCTGGCCAGCCCCAGAGGCACCATTCGCCTGGCGAGCTTGTAGGGGGCAGAGACATAAGAGGGCATCAGAGGAGGGAGGGAAGGAAAGAGGGACAGAGGCCAGCATTGGCCATGGCAGCTCTGACCATCATTCAAGGCACCCCAGGGTGCCACAGCACATTGGTTGAAAACCACCGAACTAGACAGTACACAGGATGTTGGTTTTATGAGATCAAATGAGGCCACAACTTTATTGGTTACAAATGTGTAGGTTTGGCCATAGGCACTGGGATAAGCCACGCAAATACCACTCCAGTGTCTCTAAGGGTGAAGCCAACCAGCAGAGAACACCCAAGACATACGTCAAATTGGGGTGTCCCTCAAGTGATCTCCATTGGAGGAGTGGAATGGCCCAACCTGGCTAAATGACATCTTTTGTTCTTCCTTAAGTTCTGTTGCACTGAGCTGTTCTGTCTACCTTCCTCCTAGGAACGTCTATGTGGGATTCCTTCTCTCGATAAGAGGTGCAACCTGCCTCCTGTACATCGTCCTCTGCGTTTTAATTGTGAAGCGATTCAGACGAGGCGGGGAAGAGGCAACGGCAACCCAAAACTGTGAGCTGTCTGCCGCCAAGTTGCCAGTGCCCGAACTGAACAAAGGAGAAACCTCTTGCGTAGAGGCATCCATCAACGGCGACACCCGCTTGTGAGAAAGGAAAGCTGGTTTGGATCGTTGCACAAGCGGCTGCTGTTTGGGCGTTCAGGAGCAATCCGTAGCATGAGCTGTTCCTCGCCCAGGCCAAAGCCCTATCTGGCGATCAGAGCTCGATACATACAGCCCTGCTCAGATAACTGGAAACTGCACCAATCGCCCGCAGGCAAAGGCACCAGTTATTTGTAGCAGATCATTGTGGCAAGAGCACCAATCACCTAGAAGAGGGGCAAGAGGGAACTGAATGGTTGGTGCTCTTGCCAATGATCTACCCAAGACTGCGATGCAGCTGCTGGTTTGTGTTTTGTAACATCAGGAAACCTTAAGTGTGGCACCTGTTTACATGTGAAGTTCCTCATGCAGCAGAGCACTATGGAAGCTGGAAAGGAGGCTGCGAGTTTTAAAATACGGAAGAGAGATGAATATAAAACATTTGCTTAGGAACAAAGGGAGCTCGCTTGTGCCATGTGGGACCACTGGTCCATCTAGCCCAATATGGTCTGCGCGGACAGGCAGCAGCTCTCCAAGGTTTCAAGGCAGGCGATGTTCCCAGCCCTACGTGGAGGTGCCGGGAATTGAACGTGGAACATTCCTCATGCCCCGTCACTGAGATACCGCCCTTCCTTCTACAGTCCTCAACAGGGTTGGAGTGTTAACGCCCCCCCAAATCAAACCTAGAGGGAAAGCTATATCTATCTTGTTAAGCTAAAGAGCTGGTGGGTAGGATTGCGTGACCCTGTACGTGGGGGACATTTTCCTCCCTACTCACAAGTGCTCATTGAAAGTCCACAAACCGGTTCCCTGTTATCTCTGAGCAACCTCTGCGTGTGTGGGGTTCTTCTTTTTAACTTTGCCACTGGGGCGAAAACTCCTTGTGCTATCTGTTGCCATTTATAGCACAGATTATCTGTGCAAATCGGTCTCTTGGCTTGACTATCCAGCCGCAGAAGTTTGATGCTTTTTCTTTTCGCTTTTTGGAAGGGAAGCAATTTCCTGCCATATTCAAAGCATTCTCCAGAGATCAGCAGTCATCATTCAGCCTCATTACAGTGATGGGAAATAGGGCCTCATAAGCCGTATTATAGCGACCCACTGGAAAAACAGCTGCTTCTGTCAAGAAACACCTCCATTTCCTGACAAATTACTGCCATGTGCTAAAAGCTCTCCAAATAGACCAGCTTCCAAAAACAAGAAGGTCTATCGTACAGATAGAGGCTTTTTACTTCTTGTTATGGGGCCAGGGGTGGGGGGCAGGAAGCCCTCTTCCCTTTCGGAAAACAGCGAGCCAGATAATGACAGGAACACCCCCTTGAAGCCGCAAAAGAGAGCTTCTGTAACTTTTAACGGAGAGTGGATTTTACTCACATGGTAAATGCTTAGAAATGGGTTTCAAGTATTATCTCTCATGCAGTTACTTGGTTTGGGGTGGGGTGTGGGTTGGTGTTACAAACTCCCGGTTCCAATGTGTTTTTCTTTTTAAATACCATTGCCTCCTTCAAGGCGGTAGGCACCATTCTGTCCTGCAAGACAGATTACTACATTGGACCCACCTGATCAATTCCACACACCCCCAACCCTACCCAGCTAGATCATGGCAGCCACAAAGGTGTTCGAGCTGATTCAGTGTTGATCCTCTCTGTGGAGGTTTCATAGTGCATTGCAGGAGTGCTAACTCGCCCTCAGGGTTGTGGGTGCCCACCACCATAATGTGGACATGCAACGTCACATGCACACACTTGCACATGTCTGAGCCCCCCCAACTTCTGGGGAAAGGGTGCCTCGCTCACTGGCTGCGGAGGGCAGAGCTGAACTGCTTCTCTCTGGGAGACAGCACTGCTGCCACTGGCAGCTTTTCTCATTGACTTTGTGAGTGCCTGGCCCCCACATTATATTAATGTGGCTTCTGAAGCACCTATGGCTCCTGGAGTTAGCTCCTATGATGCAGTGTCCACACAGAGCCAACATATTTTGAAAACGGGTTAATGTGTGGATACCTTCGAGCACAGGTCTCCACCTCCTTTGATCCTGCAACTTCTCTACGTGCGTAATCACCTCCTCAATCGCTGATCTCTCTACCTGGCCTGTTTTTGTTTATGATACCAATGGCTGTTCTGATCTGATGCAACAGTGTCACAGTTGACATCTACTGGCCTAGTTACGCTAGCGTCAGAGAGAGATGCTGGACAAAATTGCGTCTGATCACTGAATTATATGACAAGCATGGGGGAATGGATTTCCATGTGCATGATTAATAGTTGTTGGAGATAGAAACTGCTGAGATGCTAGACCTAGGTCTGGTGTTTTTTATATAATATTTTGGCAGAGTTGTAAAATCTGTGGACCTTCAAATGTTGTTGGACACACACACAAGCTACTACTTAGTTAGCCCAAGTCATCTCTACTAAAATGAGCTTCCGTCCTTCAAATAGAAGACCTCCCTGGGATAGCTCAGTCGGTAGAACATGAGACTTTTAATCTCAGGGGCATGCATTTGAGTCCTGATTTGGGGCGAAAGATTCCTGCTTTGCAGGAGTTCGGACTAGATGACTCTAGTGGTCCCTTCCAGCTCTGCAATTCTATGGTTCTGTGAAATAGAAGAGTTCTGGAGCATGACTGTGTCCTTTTTCAAGGTTATGCAGAGCTGCCTTATATGGAGTCACACCAGTGGTTCTTCTAGCACAGATAGCAGGGGTGACAAAGACCACCTGAGTGAGATCCTTAGAGCTAAAGGGAACAGGAGTTCAGCCTGGGACCTTGCGTATGCAAAACACATGACCTACTCCTGGGCTTTGTCCCCTCCCTCAAGGAGAGACAGGAGGTTGCTAGAGTAATGAGCAGGCTTCCCTTGACTCATCCCACCCAGAATCAAAGCTAAGGACCTGACTATGCATCAGAGAGGACATAGGGATGTTGCCCAAAATGGCAGCCCACAACTGGAATTTCCACCACAATGGGTATCAATACTTTTCCACGTTCTGACTTTTTTACTTTCGGCTTTTTGCTGTCCATCACATCATGAAAATCGAGCTGTTATGTGTTCAGTAAACAGGAGTGGGGAGCAGGATTGCATCCACTGGCATAAGAACACAAGAAGAACTTGCAGGATCCAGCCGATGGCCCATCTAGTCCAGCATCCTGTTCTCTCAGTGGCCAAACAGAAGCTTGTGGGAATCTCGCAAGCATAAGAGCACTCTTCCCCTTCTGTGAAACCACCTTTGTCTTGCTTCTGCTAAGCAGATGCACTTTATTAAAGAGCAAAATACGCGCATGAATAAAACCCTTTTGGACAATATGGGAAATGTTGTTTGCATGGATTTGTTGGTGCTGTGGGTTAAACCACAGAGCCTAGGACTTGCCGATCAGAAGGTCGGCAGTTCGAATCCCCGTGACGGCGTGAGCTCCCGTTGCTCGGTCCCTGCTCCTGCCAACCTAGCAGTTCAAAAGCACGTCAAAGTGCAAGTAGATAAATAGGTACCTCATAATTTGATGTTTTAAAGACAGGTGCGTTTGATTCTGCCTACTTCATTTTTACTGTATATGTTGTTCTTTTAATATTTTCCTCACACAGTGCTTGGCAAACATTCATTGGGAGGCAGTTTATAAATGCTTGAATAAACAAGAGGAATAGCGCAGGAGGAGATGCCTCCTTAAATCTGCTGGACTGTGCTGGTAACGGTAAGAATGTGATTTATTAGCCTGGAATCCACCCAGGACAAAACACAACAACTATTGAAACCAACAGTCATATTTATCTAGGGAATGTTGCAAGAAGGAACATGCAATCATTAATGAGGAACAGGAGATCATGTTCCCGACTCAACGTACCCAACTCCTCTGCCTACTGCCTAACTGTCTTGACCTCCTCCCACATTTCTCCAGGTCTTTTTGAGGGCCTCTTCGAATTCTCCTTCTCAGCAGACCCCCCCCACCTGTCCCTTCCCTCTGACATTTTCCTCCTCTCAGGGGCGGACTTTGGTATGATGGCACCTTGAGTGAGGGCAAAATTTGGTGCGTGCACGCACACACAATATTTCTTATTTTCACAATAATATATTTTGGTACAGTTGCTTTTTAAATGGATCTTCTCATCAGGTACTACTTTTGTTGTTGTTTAGTCATTTAGTCGTGTCCAACTCTTCATAACCCCATGGACCAGGCACTCCTGTCTTCCACTGCCTCCCACAGTTTGGTCAAACTCATGTTAGTAGCTTCAAGAACGCTGTCAACCATCTTGTCCTCTGTTGTCCCCTTCTTCTTGTGCCCTCCATCTTTCCCAACAACAGGCTACTGAGGAAGAACGGAGGACAAGTACAGGTACTACTACTACTACTACTACTAATAATAATAATATTTTGGGGCCCTTGGCTCGACTCCCTGTAAGAAAACCACTTGCACTGCCCTAAATCCATCACTTTTACTTTCCATCTCCTCCTACTACAGCCCCTTTCCTTCTATCATTCATTAATTCCTTCTCTTACAGATGCCTTAAGAGTTGTTGTTTTTGCAGGGGTGGGGGTGGTATCAGACAGTTGGAACAGAAATGTTAAAAAATAAACAAGGCTTGAGTTCCAAAAGGTGTCTTGAGCGATTGGAAAAGGACTTCTGCTCTGCTCACACAATGCAGACCCCTGGATGGCTTTAAAAGAGGATGAGGCCAAATAGAGAATTCACCACACAGCATCTCCAAGTAGACATAGGGGAGATTCATGGTCCGAAAACATGGAAAGCCGCTGCTAGTATGATTCGAAAATTGCAGTTCTCTGAGTTTTGTTGTGCAGTTCTCCACCCGAGTTTTAGGGGAGATTGCTTTGCAAATATTTACAGTGGTACCTTGGGTTAAGAACTTAATTCGTTCTGGAGGTCCGTTCTTAACCTGAAGGTGTTCTTGACCTGAGGTACCACTTAAGCTAATGGGACCTCCTGCTGCCACCGGGCAATTTCTGTTTCTAAGTTATTAACCCGAGGTACTATTTCTGGGTTAGCGGAGTCTGTAACCTGAAGTGTCTGTAACCTGAGGTACCACTGTATTACGAAAAATTGGGATTAGGAGAAATTCGCTCAAAAATTCTGATGGGTTTACATGAAAACTTTTTAAAAAATCACCAGCTGACATGGAAATTAACTGAACTTAATGTTGAAAAAAAGAGGAAGTGAGAGAAACTGAAATTGACAGATCCACCCCTCCCTCCCTGTAAGACCCCAGAATGCCCCACAGAAAACACTGTAGTGCAAATGAAACGTCCTGTAAAATTACTTCTGAATGTTGTTGTTTTTCAAAAAACAACATTGTACGATGTGCACACAGTAGGCTGAATGGAATGTATCCCTCTCATTAGTAACTTGGAAGAATGAAAGAGCCTGGAATTTCCTCTTGCACAAGAGATGCCGGCAGGAGAGCTTGAACCGAGAGAAAACTAGGGGCAAGGAACAGCCTTAAAGAACATTTATTCATTGGTTCAGTTTCTAGCCAACCTTTGTTCAGTAGCAACCCAAAGCAGTTACAAATCCAAAACCAGAAACTGGAGCAGGATACGAAGGGGGTGAGACCAAAGGCAGTTGTATTTGTTATCTACCACTTTACCAGACACAGCTCCCCTCCTCACATTCTGATGTATTGCCGTTCTTAGAAAGGCTTAGAATGGCCAGCTGCAAATTGAAAACTTCCTTTGCAACACTATGACCATTTCCAGGATTCCTGTGGAATGACAATGACCCAGTAGCGTAGCATGGGTTGCCAGTGCCCGGGGCCACATGGAAGTGGGGACGAAGGGAAACAAACAGAGTACACATGTGCATTCAACTGCCTAGCAGTGTCTGCATCATCCAGGAGACTGCAGCAACAGAGATAAGAAAAGAAGAGTCGTTCCATTGTCTGAAGAGGTCACTTCCTGGTTCCTATGGAGAAGCCGTTTTCAACAGAGCCCAGCAACGGAAACACACAGCTGTATTGAGGCAGTACTAGGTGTTTAGATTTTGCACCGCCTAACAATTTTACGCCCTGGACAACCACTCCTGCAACCCCTCCCATGCTACGCCACTTGGTGGACCCAGGCTCTCTTCAGACTTTGTGTGAGTGCTGTTAGTAGCACATACATCCCAAAGAAAAGTGGATTGGCATCTGTAAAAATATAACCTCCCCAGTGCTATTTTGGAGCAACCATCAGAAGACTTTTTGAATTCTAACTTGACAGTCTGATGGCTTGTTTCTGAAGCTATCCTGGTGCTCTGATAGACGGAGCTCATTTCAAATCGGGATCAAGATCTATAAGGAGGTAAAGCTGCTTGCAGAGAGTGTGACTTCTGTCTCTAGTCTGCAGAGAGTTATTTTTCTTTGTTTAATGTTAGTGTGGATGTTTCCTGCAGAGGATCCTAGTGGCTCATTAGTGCTAGTGCAGAAGACAGAAATGCCAGGATGTCAACTTTATCATCTGATGGAAGTTACTCATCAAAATAGATAAGACTCCTCACATAAGAGCATTGTTGTTGTTGTTGTTGTTTAGTCGTTTAGTCGTGTCCGACTCTTCGTGACCCCATGGACCAGAGCACGCCAGGCACCTCTGTCCTCCACTACCTCCCGCAGTTTGGTCAAACTCATGCTGGTAACCTCAAAAACGCTATCCAACCATCTCGTCCTCTGTCGCCCCCTTCTCCTTGTGCCCTCCATCTTTCCCAGCATCAGTGTCTTCTCCAGGGAGTCTTCTCTTCTCATGAGGTGGCCAAAGTACTGGAGCCTCAGCTTCACGATCTGTCCTTCCAGTGAGCACTCAGGTCTGATTTCCTTAAGAATGGATGCATTTGATCTTCTTGCCGTCCATGGGACTCTCAAGAGTCTTCTCCAGCACCATAATTCAAAAGCATCAATTCTTCGGCGATCAGCCTTCTTTATGGTCCAGCTCTCACTTCCATACATCACTACTGGGAAGACCATGGCTTTAACTATACGGACCTTTGTTGGCAAGGTGACATCTCTACTTCTCAAGATGCTGTCTAGGCCTGTCATTGCCCTTCTCCCAAGAAGCAGGCGTCTTTTAATTTCGTGGCTGCTGTCACCATCTGCAGTGATCATGGCGCCCAAGAAAGTAAAATCTCTCACTGCCTCCATTTCTTCCCCTTCTGTTTGCCAGGAGGTGATGGGACCAGTGGCCATGATCTTCGTTTTTTTGATGTTGAGCTTCAGGCCATATTTTGCGCTCTCCTCTTTCACCCTCATTAAAAGGTTCTTTAATTCCTCCTCACTTTCTGCCATCAAGGTTGTTGATCCATCCTTGATGGATCAAGGTTGTTGATCCATCCTTCATGGATCACTGCCTTGCCGTGGCGAAGGGGCTTGAAGAACTCAGAGAAGCTATGAACTATGCCGAGCAGGGCACACAAGATGAACAGGTCATAGTGGAGAGTTTTGACCAAACGTGATCCACCTGGAGGAGGAACCGGCAAGCCACTCCAGTATCCTTGCCAAGAAAACTCCATGGACAAAGACAACAGGCATAAGAGCATTAGGCTACAAATTTAATTGACAAGCCCAGGTGAAGCAGTCCAGATTCCACTGAAGGAGTTGCCTGACACATGTGACTAAATTAGAACAGGCATGTGGGGAACCTTCGACCTTCCAGATGCTGCTGAACTACAGCTCCCATCATGCCTGGTCATTTGCCAGGCTTGCTAGGGCTGGTGGGAGATGCTGTTCAGCAATATCTGGAGGGTCAAAGATTCCCCACACACTTGATCCATCCTTCCAAGGTGTCTTAAGAGAACTAAAAAAACCCCAAAACCTTACCATGGGGCAGTGGGAAATATTTCCCAAAGTTTCATTGCTTTCTTTCATTGCAAATTGCAGGTGGGTGTCTTCCTAGCATGTAGATGGAAAGAATCTACTTTGGGACATTTAAAAATCAGTTCACACTTTGCATTTTTAGCGATACACTAAATATATAATTCCAAATGTGTGCCAAGACCGATAATGTATGAAAACAACACGCATGCATTTACCAACTAGTTTTATTATAGAGGTAGACTCATAAGGGAGACTCAAATGGCTGCAGATCCCTATCCGACGTGCATCGCTGGTCAACCTGGATTTGCTGCATTTCATGTGTGAACTCAGCTCAGATGTACTGGCTAGTAATACAGGGGTGTACATGGGCTCTGCAGAGGGGCCAAAATGAGGCAGGTCAGGGTGATTTAGAGTTATTACCACCCTTCTAAGTTGAAGCTCGGTGTGACGTGAACATATGAGAGTGCTGGAGGTGAAATAGTTAAACAGGTTACCCAATCAGAACCCAGGGGGTGGAGTCAGAGGGACTATAAAGCCAGCTCTTGGAGGGGCGAAGGGGGGAGTTCGTTGGGAGTTG